CAGTAGACTATTGCGAGTAATTTAATTGATGCGGACTGAGTAATGGACAATTGAGGGGTCATTCGGCAAATCGTAAAATACAGGTGATCCCCGAATCGGTGGTCACCGTGGTCAGGCGGATAATTAACTTTTATTACACCGTTCTCAATTGTTAAATAATGCTTCATCAACGAAAAGATTGACGGGTTTGAATTACACAAGCAATCGAGTGGCTGGAAACCTCGACCTATCTATGACTCCATGTTCAGACAATCTAAACTTCACATTAGCACCCTTTTTTACGCTGCTACGATGCGTTTAAAGCAAAATCGGAGCAAAACAGAAATTCCAGTTGAGGGTTCACGTATTTTCCGACACAAAACTTGGGAAGACAGGTAGTTGAAGTGATCTATCACCATTTGTATGCCTTAATGATGATCGAACCGAACAAATTTGGGTTAGATATCGCTCTGATCGTGGTAAAACGACTAAACTCGTTCACAGCCTGACCGGCATATGATACTAACATATAGGATTTCATCATGGCAAGCTTACTAGTTCACGATAACTCACATGTGACCGCCGCGTAACACCAAACTTGTGGTAGTTAAACAATGGAAAGATCAGGCCTTTAAACAAGTGAAAACTTGGAAATTCTCTCTTTGAGATTTTCCCCATTGAGCATGACTTTATTGATCGACAGAACAGATTAACGAAAATCCTAGCGATCAGGTCGGGAATGAGGATGCATGGTGTCCGGGTAGCTTAATCAAATGAACTGGCTTTAGGATCGCTGAAGTTTTGTTTGCGAGAGGGAAAAATTCATTGCAACTATCCAAGTTAAGCTGTTCACGATCAAAGAGGCCCACACTGGCGCGTGGGTCCCGAAATTCGCATTCCACTGAACGCAGTCATTTAGCCCAAAAACTGAGAAGTTAGCAGAAAAGTCAAAAGATTTAATGAATGAAAGACATTGTAAGTGTTCGCGTGCATTGATGGAAAGTCAGATTATTGTCATTGCATAGGAGCATTGTTATTGTTGTTGTTGCTGGCGTTCGCTGGACAGAGGGGTTCGGTTGAAGTGACCATCTTGTAGAGGACGAGGAACACCAATAAGTGCAGCGCCAACGCGTACGCAAACGTCGCCAGACGGGCCCCACGATTGTTGATGATCATTTTTCCCTAAAGACAAAAATGCCAGCTATTTCAAGGCCTCTGAGGTCAAACAACCATCGAAATCGAGTCACGAGACTGGTTGTTATCAGTTTAGCCTAAATACAAAAAGTCAGCTATTTTAAGGCGTCTGAGGTCAAGCAACAATCGAATCCGACTCACGAGACTGTGCATGATCTTCTCGTGCGGCTGCAACGACTGGTATCTTCGCTGGCGCTCCTGTTGACTGAACTGCTCGAAGGGATTCAAACGAGCCTCATAGGCATGCGAATAACGCGTCAACAGATCGTCCTCTTGACTGCCCACACGCTTACTTGAAGGCGAGTTGTGCTGGCTAACAGCGGGCGAGTAGCTTTGAACGAACTTGATCTTCTCGTACAACTTGACGTTGTCCTGACGAATCGATTCCAGTTCGGTCTGGGCGGAAACAACTTGCTGTCGCAGGGCCAGCATATTCTGAAACCAAAATTTCCACATGTACATCGTCTCTAATTGAATAAATCGGACGACCACTATTCCTTCATCATCAAGTGCACAAGGCGTGTCCGTTTAGCAAATGTAGTACATGGGCTTGCTGTTCGCACTGCTAGACCGGTTTTGTGTGTCGTAGACATTGGGAAATTACGTGCCCACGTCTGAGATACGTGTGTCCGTGTGTGCCATAACACAAATCCAGCACATGCATCGTCTTATGAAACACATAAATTTGTATTTTTTTTTTTAGCAAGAAGTGTAAAGCACTGAGACAGCTGCTGAAACATGACGGATGGAATTTCAAGAGTCCGAGATCGCGGTCAAACTGGACAAACTACGCAGCCAATGCTACCCGTTTGTCGAGTAGACAACGAATGACTCAAGCAGCACACCGAAGAAGCTCAACTTGGGACATAAGCGGAATCAAAGTGTACCTCTTCTAGTTCACGGTTCCTTTCCCGCAGTCTGTCGCGTTGGCCTTGCACAATGGAGAGGATGGAGGAGTCCCCCGGCCGGTGGATGTCCTGGTCGGTGGAGAGGAGGTCGACCAGAGATGAGGGTGACTGGGCCTCTACCGCGCCGGCAGTGGACACGACGCCAGAGCCCTCGTAGTACTGGGTTTGGCGCCACGTGCTGGCCACGTTCAAGTCATTCTCGAGACGAGAAATGAGGGCCTTCTGGTGGGCATTTTGTTCGGCCAGATCGGCGGCTTTTTCACGCAACTCGACCAACTCGGCTAAAGGAAAAACAGGCAAGCGCGGACGCCTGGGTCTTATCTTGATTGAATTCTAATCGTCGACAGGCAAAAGGCAATTTTGGTAGCTTTTGTTACGCGTAGGTGCTCATTTTTCAAGTGAGACGAACCACAGGTGCTTAAGCAAAGTTGTAATTGACGTCGAAGCAGCACCTTACTTGCACCGAGGGAGGTGGGTAGGTCAAAGAAATCGCGAAAGACCGATTAACTACAGGCCAAGTCGGTAAAGGCGTCAATATCAAGGATCATGAAGCGTCAAAAGCAGACAACACCACCTCCATGTTCATAGCTACATCTAATCTGTGCGACAGAGCAACAATGCAAGCCTACGTGCCGGTCACATCGTGGACATTAAACGAAACATCGGCTGTTATTCTCGAGGCAACATACCTTTCGTCTGGTCTTAGGCCACATGAATGGAGATGTTTTAGTGCCAACTAAGTGGACAGAAAATCTACAGGCGCATTAGCCGTGTTGTCCGTAGTAATAAACGTCAACTTCAAGTGAAAAACGAGCCCACAAAGAAGCCCAAAAGCACAAGCCACTATCTTTCAAGAGAACACAAGTCTGGACCAGGGACCTGGAACATCCACCAATCACCTTCGTCAGCTCTGAAGTTAACCAACCAATCACCGTCTCGTTGAGAGGTAGGGAAATTGAAATTTGAATTGAAACAGCAGATAATTTGAGAGCACTCACTCACACACACGCAGAGCACTGCGACGACACAATCAACCGACGCCCAACACTACGTTGTCTGTCTGATGACACTAAGAGATCAGAAAATGAGCACGCGACAAGGTTTGGCAAAATAGGACTCACACTCCATTTGATCCTTGTCGGCACTGATGCTGGCAATCCTGTTTTGGAGCTGTTCGTTTTTCCTGCGAAGCCGAAACTCAAGCGGCTCGTCTGCGGCATTGGATTGGTCGCCGGACTGCTGCTGGTGCTGCTGCACCTGCTGGAATTCAATGGACCGGAGCACCTCCAGCTCCTTCTTCACTTCTTCGTAGTCACTTTTGCGCAGGAGGTCAGCTTCGAGGGAGGACGCCAGCAACCTGGATGCCTGCAGAGCCGACTCACTCGCCTCCAATCGACTTCGGAGGTTTGTCACTTCCTCGCGTCGTTCAGCCTCAACCGAATGAACTTGAGTCATCAGATTAATAATCTAAAAAAGCAGCATTGACAGAATATGGTACTGAAAGATAATCAGTAGACGTAGTTATATGGTGCTTGTTTGATGAGATTCACCTCTTGCTTCCTGCTCTCCAATTCCGATTCCAGGTCTTCGATGCGAGCTA